GAAAATTCAGTATTTTCGTAGGGGTTAGCCCACATATTTCAAGAAAAATAAGAAAAAATGAAAATTTTGTTTTATTGCATAGCTACATCATGCACTGACATAGTATGAATATTAAAGAGGTTTAAGACCTTAGATGTTTTCATTTCTCTAGAAAATAGAGTTTTTATAGGGGTTAGTCTACTTAATAGATGGTATATGAAGTTTTAAAATAAATTACTTAATAAAAAAAATAGAAATGATCCCCATCTACCTGAAAATAAGTTTACCATACATATAAATACGTTTTGGTGTGATTAGTTATTTGTAAATAACACTAAAGAGATTAAATATTATAGACAGCATATATCAGAAAATTCAGTATTTTCGTAGGGGCTAACCCACAGATTTCAAAATAAATGAGAAAATATGATATTTTTATTTTAATGCGTAGATCCATTTAACACATATATAGGTTAAAGATTAAAGATGTATGGCACCTTTTTTGTCCCAATTTCTCAAGTTTACAGAGATTTCGTAAGGTTTAGTAGCTCTTGGTTTAGGATGGTACATTAAGGTTAATTAAAATACTCGTTATAAATTTATGAAGGATGCCAGGTACCATAAAAATAAATTTAGCATACATTAGTATAAGTTTTTTATGTGATTAGATAATTTTTTTTAAACATTAAAGATGCTAGATTAAGTAAAATATTTCAGAAAAGTCGATCTTTTCGTATGAGTTAACCCACATATTTCAAGATAAACTAGAAAAATATTGATTTTTGTATTTATGCATAGCTGCATCCATAAATGATATATGATGAATATAAAAGAGTTTTGATACCTTAGTTGTCCAAATTACTCTAGAAAATAGAAATTTAAGAGGGTTTAGTTCATTGATTTTGGTGGAATAACAACTTTTTTAAATTACTCATTTAAATATTAGAAATGATGCTCATTTACCATGAAAATAAGTTTAACATACATTAATATAACTGTATAATGTGATTAGGTATTTTTTTAAAACAAGAAAGAGCCTAACTTATATATATATAACATTTTCTCAGAAAAACTCGATATTTTGTAGGGGTTAACCACAGATTTCAAAACAAATGAGAAAATATGATATTTTTATTTTAATGCGTAGATGCATTTAACACATATATAGGATGAAGATCAAAGATGTATGACACCTTTTTTCCCAATTTTTCAAGTTTACAGAGATTTCATTAGGTTTAGTAGCTCTTGATTTAGGGTGGTACATTAAGGATTATTAAAATACTCGTTATAAAATAATGAAGGATATTCATGTACCATAAAAATAAATTTAGCATACATTAGTTTAAGTTTTTGATGTGATTAGATAATTTTTAAAAACGCTAAAGATGCTAGATTTAAGTATAATTAACATTTTTCAGTAAAGTATTAATATCCTCGTTTTGTTTCAAGCTAAAGAGTAATTCATACTACTAATCTTATCATCGCTCCGATAAACTAAAAACCTAAGCGTGACTGTTCTGCTTAAGCCAACTCAAACGGACTTGTTTTTCGCTAAATAAAATGTGATTTTTCCTAGTATTTTTCTACGGTCCTATAGATTATTGGTGGATTCTCCACTAATGGGACTCGAATGGCGACGATCAGTTTTTTTATTTCCCATAAATTTTGCATTATACGTGTATACTTTTGTTTTTGGTTCAACTATATAATATAGAATTAGTGGCAATAACAATGATGAATTGTTGTGATTGATATCAAAAATCTTGCGTAGGTCCCAAAGATGAATAGAATCGTGTTAAACTTTTTCTTCTGCTTTTTATCATTTTCATTATTCACCTTTCAGAATCACTATCCTAATCATAATTTCATAATCATATAGTCATACGCCTACCAAAAGCACTCATGCAATTACGGAAAAAGGCAAAAAAAAAATCTCTAAATTATTTACAGTATCGCCTTAGTTTTTTCAAAACCAAGAAAAATCTCACTTCCACATAATCACATATACACATATCTAACAAATGATTAAATAAAAACTAAAAGCAGCAACAAAAGTGAAAAAGGTCACAAAAAAAAAGTAAATAGTAAAAAGAGTCAAAAAAAAAAAAACTATTTCCATCCTCATCTTCCGTGCCAGCGACGGCTCCAGAAAAGTTTACCAAAACCCGACCCGGATTCAATACGGGTCTGAACCCGTTTGAAATCCGAGTAAGGACAAGGGATAGTGATCCCACCTTCCTGACAAAACCCAAACTCTTCTTCTGCCTCTCTAAGAAGCTCACCGAACAGAGGATGGTTAAAGTAAACGATAGGCACCAAAACTCGATGAAAGTCTCCGTCTTTTTTACCGACGTAAACCGCCGAGTGACCTTTCGGAACCGGGTCGGGTTTACTTTGAATTGGGTCCTTACCCATCGGTGTGTACCCTAGAAACCTGGCGCTGTGTGATGTGAGACTTCGACCCCAAGTTATGAGTTTTGTGATGGCTTTTGGTTTGCAAACCGGTTGAGCCGGGTTTAACCGGATGTATCTGGAGCGTCGGAGTCGGATTCTCCGGAGGATCCATCTTGAGATTCGTTGGATCGGTCTTCTAATCTTGATCCCTCTTAACTTTCTCATCGTTGCAAAAAAAAAAAAAACAGAACCTCTGTTTCAAAGCAAATTACTCAAAGCTCTGTTTTTTTATATCGTTTGATTGAATCAACGGTGGAGATTTGAGAAGGGGAAAAGGGAAGATGTGTTTTGAGGATTATGTGGCTGTGTGAATGCTACAGAGGAAGAGCAGAGTGAGAGGCAAGGAAGTTTAAATAGAGAAGAAGCCAAGAAAGATTGAAAAGGTGATGATGAGAGAAGGAGACATGAGTTATATCTGTGAACCGTTGGATGAAGAGAGAGGAATCTCAACCGTTAAGATTAGATTTTGCGGGAAAACGTCTCTCTTTTGCTTTTCTCACCTAAAGAATTCTCCATTTACTCCATAGTTTTAATTAAACGACTTTAATTTAGAATTAAACACCATTAGCTCGATTTATTTTTGTGATGTTTACCTTGCCGATTAAACGTTATACTCCCTTTGTTTCATTATAAGTGTCATTCTATAGTTGTGCATATGGATTAAGAAAACAATTAATTTTATATATTTTTATATAAAAACACAATTACCTATACACCTAACCACATTTTAACCAATAAAAAAACAAATTACATAATAAAATTAATAAATTTTGTATTGAAAACCGAGAACGACACTTATTTTGTAATGAAAAATTTTTTTATAATAATACTTAATATGAAACGGAGGGAGTAACTAATTTTGGTGTAAATAGAGAGAGAGGATGAGTCACAAGAGGTTCATCTGGTGGAGTATGTTTTAGTATGTTGTCTGATGACAGTTATGATGCCAACACATTAGTATGTTGTTTTGATGACAATTATCATGACAACACACGTGTGATATCCACGTGACAAACATTTTTTCCTGTATCTATTAGGTAATAACACTTCACAAGAGATCAAATCGCATCTTTCTGAATATTTTGTCATTGATACAAATTTAGCTGCACGTTATATATGTTGCCAACAAGGTTCATTAAATTAGTTTGTGTACGCCTGTACGGTGTGTCCATTATACTCCTTAAGATGCCTCCTTATAGATTTATTCATATGCAAACAAGAAGCACACAAACTGAAGACAGATCTGAGCTTAGGACGTTTATTAAACCAAGTTGTGCTAATCTAATCACTAATTAAACAAAAGTTTTTTGGAGTATTCATTTATACATATACTTAGTGCTAATCTGAGTATTAATCTACTTGTATAATATAAGTGACTCGAAACTTTGCCAATAACGACGAGATTATGCCAAAATTATCTATAATCAACTGTTGTTGCTCAGTTTAGGAAGCATTATGAAAAATAATTAGCAGGTTAATATTCATACACGGACTTGATACAATAGATATGTGTGTTTCCAAGCAATTAATGTATGTTGTTTTGTTGAAGTTTAATCATGTGTACATATGTGTGTGTATTTTATTCACCGAAATTAGGAAAACAATGAATGTATGTTGTTTTGTTGAAGTTTAATTCTGTGTACATATATGTGTTGTATTTTATTCACCGAAATTCGAATTGATGTGTAAACTGTGTTGTTACTTTAATAGTTACGCCATAGAATAGGGTTTACGTGTGAGAATAATGTTTTATTTTTCATATTGAAAACGATACTTTATTTATTTTTCTGTTCAAGGAAAACGATACTTTATAATAGTTAAAACTAGTATATTTATATTTAACTATTCATCGGTCCGTCACTCCGTACTAGTTGATTAAGTACACGAACATGAACGTGTCACTCGTAGCTTCGAATGCATAGGGCCCATTTGCCTCGCAGATGTCAAAATTTCAAACTCCAACGGAACCATTAAACTATTTCTCACAAAAAAGTTAAATGAATTTAATTGTTTTTAACACTAAAATGGGTTTGAACTTTGAAGAGTTCGTTCGAACGTTCGCTGCAGGTTGCACCTTGATTTAAAGTAGTTATACTTTTTCTTTATTTAGAGTGTGACATGCCACTAACCCAAAGTCATTACAACTACAAAACAATATTGCCTTTCAAAATTAACTAGAATTAATAATAGATCACCTATCTCGCATAGTTTATACGAGCAACCAGTATTTGACAACTGTGAGCTTCCTCGAAGTACCCAATAACACAATGCGATGACTTTGAAAAAAGGCTTTAAGTTCCAACCTTTCAAGGTAAGAACAAAACATCTTATATTTTTCCTAATAAGGAAAAATTCAAATCAAAACTCAACGAAAGGAAGACAGAGACATCCCTAGAAAGTCACATAACGTTTTACAATCTTACGTAAACAGTTAACTGATGTCAAGATAGATTATTCAGTTTGTTGACAATAAAATATATGGATATTTAGTTTGGCGTTTCCTCCGATTGAGAATGCTATGATATACCAATTTGAACTTTGAAATGGATAAAGAAAATAAACACTAATAGGAGTTGACAAAAAAAAAAGAAATGAAGTCAGCTTAAAACACACACAAGACGATAATACTATGTATATACATCGTGGTTTTAATATTTAAAAACGTTCGTCACATAATTAGGTTACGTTTTGAGTTGGTTCATAAACTTTCATAGATAACCAATGATGATTTATCTGTGAGGAACAATTCATTACCTACTAATTTAGGTATACAAGTTATCTAATAGTGGTGACTCTTCAAACACACATCATTGTTGGTCGTTCTAAATTTTAACTTATATATCAACATAGTTAGTAAACTATCCTGCATACTTACAAAAAAAAAATATTAGAAATAGATGAACCTGATCCCTGGATGTTTTTTGGGTCCTAACTCCTAACTCGTATTGCATTTGATAAATTCCGACATTATGCTTAGTTTTGTTTAATGACTGTGTTTTAAACATGGAATTCAATATTCTTGTAATATATACTTGTAAATGTTAAAAGATCTAACTAATGTGCATCAGACACTGATAAAAATAGGTTTAGAGGTTTAGAACTAATGGCTTCATTTGATTATGGTAAACAAGTTAAGTAGTAATATTTGTTTTATACTGCAATGAAATTTTGTCTTATTCTACTAATAATTAATTCATTTACAAGTTGGGTGCTGACTGTTGAGACCCATAAAGATGAATAAGTGGGTGTTAAAGGTGAAATTAGGTTAGAGATATTGTAAAATAGTAGTTATTAAAAAATATAAGCTGCTAATGTTTTGTATCTATCTGTACGGATAAACGTACGTGACGTGTCAGGGACTACTTTCGAAGCCTCGAAGGTCAATTCAAGATTTATCGGAAAAAACGTCCGAGTAAACAAACACGTCGTTAAAGCTTTAGTTGCCGTCGCATTAAGCAAAGATAATATTTTGCTCGAAAACGCTAGTCGGTTCCTTAATCCTCGGTTAATTAATAATGAATAACCTATTTTTACAATAATAAGTCGTTTTAATTCGACATATTGCGATTGTCAACGAAGAAGAAAATAAAACACACAATCGACGAACGTGTATAACAAAATACAACAATCATCTTTAGTCGTTAAGCTTGTCGTTCGTTGATAATACGTACAATGACGTCGTACCAAATTGTACAGCTTGGTCAAGTCTGCCATGCCGACCAAATTTCTTTTGAAGATACGGCGAATGTTTTGTCTTAATGCCACGTGGATAAACAGGCCAAATAAAGATACATTATTTAAGCTGAATAGTAGTTTCATGGCATGACTCAACAGCCCAAATATAATGTTGACGGTAATATAAGGCTTAATAAAGCCCAAATATATTAAAGCTGAATAGTAGTTGCATGATATGACTAAACAGCCCAGATTTATCGTTGACGTCCACATTAGGGCCTAAGTATAAAATATAAGACCAAACATGGGCTTTTATTAAGCCCACGAATTAATACGAAAGTCCAGTGAAAAAAACGACACGCGGTGCTAAACAGCAACAGATAAACGTTACAGCTGATGATCAAACAGAAACACATTGGTAAAAGTAAAACTAACACTTTGATAATCACTCTGTTACAACTTTACTAAGATGAATAGAAACAATGTAATAACTTCTTTTTTTCTGCAATCACCACAGCTTTCTATACAATTCAAACGTAAATCAAGAACACAAACCAAGACTTAAAGAACACAGTTAATCACAGAAGTAAGAACGTTAAATAAAAAAATTAAACCTTATATCCTTTTAGCTGCCAAGTCCATAGAAACACCTTCACGTGAGGAAAAACTTGGTTTGGTCTCTTTCATTTACATTTGAAGCCGGTAAGGTAAACTTGAGACTGAATCACCGTGCAGCCAACTTTAAACCCAGGAACCACAGTGAATCCCACTTTCTCTCGACCAAGATTCATCCCAAACTTCTTATCTCGTCTCCTTCTCAACACATTCTCCATATAAACAACCGAAAAATCAACCCCACTCTCCACTTGAAAAATCTCAACCGCGGGATCAAACGACAACGCTAACTTACGAAGTATCCAAACCGAGCTAGCCATGGTAACAAAAGACTCATAAAACGAACTCAAAGATCTCCAAGAACTCAACACAGCTTCCGTCTGATCCATATTACTGAATATAGAAGACTCCATGTTGGGATGTATAAGCTCATGATACTTCTTATCACAAAACCTAGAGAACCCACACTCTTTATCTCTCTCAAGAATCTCCATTGGATTACTAGAAACATGTTGCATCAACGAATCATCATCATCATCCTCATCATCATCGAAGCCACGAAACATCCCTAAGCAAACATAAGACAACAAAGCATACCGATTATGCCCTTTCTTAACAAACTCAACCTCAGGAGAGACATAACTAGCAGCTAAACCCAAATCCCACCCTGCCTTCTCCATCAACCCAATCAAAACTTTACTAAACCTCTTCACATCTTTAACAACATCACACAACATAGACTCAAAAACCCCAACAGACAACACAACACCACTCTCAAATTCAGACAACCTCCTCGACAGCTTCGAGTTAAGCTTCTGAATCTCACTTAACCTCTTCCTCAACTCCAAAACCTTCGAATCCTTCCCGTCAATCTCGCCTTGTAACCGGTTAGAAACCGTCCCCAAAGCTCTAAGCTTGCTCTGATTCTCCTGAACCCTAGACTCCAAACACGACCCAACAGCGAAATCGGCGTCAAGATCGAAACTTTCGAGATGGGTTCGGTAAAAGTGCTTGAGATCGGAGAGTTTCCGGAGGTTTGAGACCAAAGCTCGATCGGCCGCCGTGACGGTCTCTTCCGCGAAAGGCGCGTGGGCGGCTTGGAGTTGGAGGTAAGAAGCTTCGAAAGAGGAAAGGGTTGCGAAGATCGATGAGATTAGGTTTAATCCCATCTGGGTATCGAGTTTCGTGACGAAAGTTTTGATCTTGGGATCGGGTTTGAGGACGACGACTTTCTGATCGGTGATGAAGTCTTCGGAGGAGTCGAGGAGGGAGAAGTTGTCGTCTTCGGTGAAGAATTCGTAGGTTTTGGCTTTGACGGCCATGGCGAGTTTTTGGAACATGGCGGAGAGTTGAGGAGGAGATGATGTTTCTACTTCTCGCATGGTTGAGAGAGAAGAAGAAGAGGGGGAAAGTAAAGCTTTATTATTCTTTAATGTAAAAAAAAAAAAATTGGAAAGGGAAGGATCTTAAGGATTGTTTGTTGTGCTTTGAGGGAGGGAGAGGGATTAGTTAGTAGTGGTGGTGCTTTGGATGCATTGGAAGAAAGGAATGCTCTCAAACCTTTTGCCTTTCCTTTCCTTTCTTTTCCTCTGTGTTTTTTTGTTTTTTTTATTTACTTTTTACAATATAGTTTTTTTTTTATGTATCAGTCATGCTCATCTATAATTCTTATTCCGCTGACTTTTTTTATTTTCATGATTTTGGTTAACGGTAACATGTGAAATTCGGTGTTGATTTTTTTTTCTTTTAGAATAAATGTGGTGTGATCCAAAAACTTTCTAAATCTAAAATTAATCACAAATAAAATTCATGTTTTTTTTTATTATTTTAGATAGTTTCGGATGATCGGATTCGAATTCACATGACGGTACTCATAATTATAAATTTTTATCATAAAAATTTGAGGTTTTTATTGTGTTAATTTTTGTAATTAAAAAAAATTCTTTGGTGAATTGTTTACTTTTTCTCTTCTGGAATAATTTTTAAAAATTTCTAAGATATATAGTTTTTATGTAATTTGCTACTGATTTGATTGTTGATTTATATTAATAAAATAGTAAACAATTGAGAGAAAGGGTTTTTAACCTTACGTTAAGTTAACTGTCAACACTTGAATCTATAAAAGTGAACGGCACGAAAATTAAGTGGTGCTACCCACTTTCTACATCACTTATAGTATTTAATACACGATTAACAAAAACTTATTAAGATCGTAAACTTTGTTGATAGTTTTGATATAAAGAAATACCGGTAAGTGTGTGTTTCCCCTGTTATTCATAGTTTTGCAAATATGAAAATGGTGAAGAAGTATTATTAATGCCTTTATCCATACTATTATATAAAAAGTAAATTTGCTTAGTTGTCAACTTCTCCTTGATTTTAGTTAAATTTGTTTATTTACTTTATTTAAATAATTTCATATACAATTTATTATTTAATAAAAACGAATTTCTATTAATAAATATGATAAATAAACAAAATTACCTAAACTTAAGGAGAACATGAAAATTAAGCAAATTTAATTCTTAAATAATAGTATAGATATTGTAATAATTTCAAATATAATTTATTAAATAATAAAACGAATGTATACTAATAATACTAGATTTTTAAAAATAAGATAATTCTTATGTATTAGATTGTTATCTTGAACATATATTTTCTATTAGAAAATTTAAGTGAATTATCTGATTTGTAATTTCTCCATGATTTAGATAATTTTTATTATTTGCCATATTTTAATAATTTCATATAAAATTTATTAAAATAAAAACGAATTTCTATGAAAAATTATATTTTGTGAAAATAAGACTTCTTATGTATTATATTGTTATCTTAAAAATATATTTTTATTATAGAAATAAAAAATTAAGATAAAAAAATTCTAACTAAAATAAATTAAAGCAACACATTTGTAAAAATATATTTTTAAAAATATTTTGTTATGTGAGTGTTGTCATTTATAATTAATTTTAAAACATAAATCATAACTTTTTATATTGGTTTGAATTAATAAAATATAGACTAATAATAAATTATACGAAAATTATGCCCGCATGTGCGGGCAAAACATCTAGTAAAACATTATTAAGACGAAGCCTTTGATTAACTGGTCACAAAGACTAATCATAACTTTGAAGACACCTTTTACAAAGACATGTAACTCTTCTCCCAGATTCTCGCTTTGTTGTTTCCCTTTTCTTCACGTCTTTGTGATGCTTTTAGCAAACATTTGTTAGTGCTAATTGTTTATGAGTATGTTAGTAATATTCACGGTTTTATCTATATATGTCGTAATCATTAACTGGAACACACAGGCTAATTCTTTTCACATGTGTCGTTATAAAGAAAACCAATATGAATATATGCAACATATTTCACCAGTTAAATTCTCCCCCGTCGGCAAAATCTGAATTCTAGTCATTTTTTAAATGTATAAGCATTTTATGGTATGATTGTTAACCTTGTCGTATAAACAAATCCCTTGAAATGCAATCTTTAAGTTTATTGATTTAGAACCAGGAGATAGCTTAATGATTTTGCTGATGTAGTTATGATGTTATCACATGGGAGATTCAACATTGAATTGTATATAAATGCGATAAGAGATTTTGACATGTTTAAAAGTTTTTTTTTATAACACTGAGACGTAAAAATATTCGAGACAATACAAAATGATAGAGAATCATAAGAGAAAAAGAAGATATCAGTAGACATCAAAATAAAAAGGAGAAAGAACTTCACCCAACCGTTAAATGCTGGGCTTCCAGAGCGAGCAGATGGTGTAGCCATACGGGAGCATTGCTGGCGATGTAAGAGTGGTGGC